ATGAATGAGCAGAAGAAGTTAAAGCTAAACTAAGAATATTTTAGTTTCCTAAATACACCTCTGCCAGAGTTCTCCCCTTCTCTGATAGCCATAACGTAACAAGAGAGCAAACAATTATGTTAATCTATTTCCATTGTAAATTCAATAGTATTATTCCTCTGTTTAATAAAAAATGAAAAATTATCTAATCTTTCTTTACCATGTTACAAAGTTGCAAAATAATCGCCCACATATTTAAACAATAGTTTTTGAGTCAATCTCACCTCTTCCATGAAGAAGTTTTTTATTACTTTTACAAAATTATTCGAAAAAATGGGAGCCAAATGTGATCTGATTGCAAGTCCATGCATCTGTTTATAAAATTTATCGCTAAAAGTGGAATATGTGCTTGCACGTGCGTGGGTATATGTATGTATGTATGATGTACGCATGTATATAAGCATGTCAGTATGCATACATGTGGGAATTTATGTGTGTATACATGTCTGTCTGTCTGTATGTATACAACTATGTTCATGTGTGTGTATGCATTTATGCATTTGTGTAAATATGTATATTTGTGTGAATATATGTACATATATATGTGCATGTATATGGACGTGTGCGTACGTATACTTATGGACTAAACTCGTACATACGCATGGTCCAATCAGCCTGAAAGGCTATGAGTGCAAACTCGCCAGACCGTGGTCCGTTCATGGATAGCTCCAGGTTTCATAGACGTTCTGCTATGAGTGTTGCAAGTTCCTGTCAGACCATTAAGGCTAGCAATGTGCAGGAAATCTCATCAGAGAAGAGACATGAAGAAAACTTTATGCCTAAACCAATTTATTTCAGACGTTCTTTGCTGTTGACTTGCTAGGCCAACGCAACGTCTCCGACATCGTGTCCCATATGCCTGCATAAATACAAATTTATTTCTTAAAGAAGCCAAAAATATCACTTGACTTTTCACGATGTACCATTATTCTTATTGTCTTTCACTCACGCAAAGTTCGCCTTCAAGCATACTGCGGTAGCGGTGAAACCAGAGAGCAGGAGACTACCTTTGATGCTATACCACCTGATCTAAAGATCGACCTTCCGCCAGATCTGCGTCCAGTTATTTTCAGCCTTTTTTGCCAGCTTGGCTTCACAGAACTCGAAGGTTTATGTGTCGAGGATCAAGTGACGCTGACCGAGATTGAGGCCTATCTTGATATTCAGGTGAACATTAAATAAGCTACAACTTTACCTTCTAATTGATAAATATATTTTGCCTCATCTACACATCTTCTAAAAATTTCCCATTACTAGTTCTAACTGCACTCTGAATTTTATAATCATAAAACAACCTGATACTCACAACGATTTTAATAATTTATATTTTTACCATTACCTACAATCGAAACTGATAACTCCCCAACATTTTCACTAGCAGGCATTTAAAACTCAATTGTTTTCCCTATTTTCCGGTGCTATCGGAACATGGGAAGATTTCCATCAAAATGACAAAGCGTATGCTTAAAAATAGGGAGAAAAGGCCTTCAGCATGCGGTGGAAGTA